CCCCCGCGCCGCCCCCTCGGCTCCCAGCAGCCGCGCGTCTGCCGCCGCCAGCAGCTGCTGGGCAGCTACCAGGTCCGCGGTCGCCAGGTCGGCCTGGCGGCGAGCCTTTTCAGGCACCGCCTGCAGGAGGGAGAGGGAGCAAACCGATTAGATGCAGCCGCAGCGACAGCCGTAGCCGCAGCTTTGTGACACGATTTGAGCACAACCAACTGGAGAAGCTGCGCTGCCGCGCGCCCTGCAAGGGGCGTGCACCAAATCACGCAATTGCAGCCAGCCGTACTGCTCACGTGCGCCTGTGGCAGCAGGAACGCCCGCTCGTGTCCGCCCCGGGCTGCCCCGCCCTGCAGGCCCCCTGCGCCACCCGCTAAAGAGGTGCTTCCATTGCATGGCGCCCCAAAGCCAGCCAGCACTGAAAATTCGCTGTATATAACCCGTGACGAGCCCCCTGGGCTGCCCCACCGCCCCACCTGCACAGTCAGCAGCCGGTTGGCCTCCGCCCTGTGGTCCCGCCTCAGCGCCGCCACCTCACCCTCCAGCGCCGCTGCGCGCGCCTTGGCATCCGCCGCCTCGCCCGCCGCCGCCGCCGCCGCGGCCCGGTGGTCGTCCAGCGCCGCCTGCAGGGCAGCAAGTTCCGACCTCGCACCCTCGATGGCCGGCCGCAGCATGGCCGCGTGGGACTCTGGGGGAGAGAGTGTGAAAAAATGGGTGAGAGCCGCAGCTCGGTTTCGGCAAGGCGCGGTGCGTGGGGCGCGGGTGGAGGCTGGACAGCAGTTGCTTGGGGTCAGGCAGGACGCGCTGAGGGTTCCAACTTTCAATCCCCCCTCAGCGCTCCTGCACACTCAGGTGCACCAACCCCTTTCTACAGAGCATACCAGCGCCCTAATCAGGCAGTGTCCCTTGCTTCAACAGTTTCCTCTCCACACAGTCAGGCACACACGCGCGCCCGCCCCCGACCCCGCACGCGCACGCGCACGCGCGCGCGCGCGCACGCACACGCACACGCGCACGCACGCACTCACACACGCACACACACACACACACACACACACACACATTCACGCACCAGCTGCACTCTCCAAGTGGTCCGCCAGCTCGTCCCTCAGCCGCCCAACCTCGGACGCCTCCAGCGCCAGCAGAGCGCACCTGCAGCAACACGCCGCGTCGCACCGCGCCCGCGAGCGGCGGCATTGCCAAGGGCCGTACGCGGTGAGGCGCGAGGCAGCGCCAAACAGTCGCGGCGCGCTCGTCATTGCGGGCGGTCCTCCTGGTATGGCACAGGCAGGCATCCGCGAGGCGTCCAGCAGAGGCCCGGGCGTGAGGGCCAGCGGGTGGGGCCCCTCACCGCTCGTTGGCCAGAGCCGCCTCCGACTGCGCCGCCTCCACATCCTCCTTCAGCACCTGCGGAGCGTGCGTTGCGCGACGGCGGTCGCGTCTGGCACCCACTGCCCTGCTCGCAAGCAACCGCTCCCGTGCCCCGCGCTGCCGAGGCGACGCCGTATTCTTCTCCCCACAGACGCTCCGATCGATGGCGCGCCCCCGTCTGTTGGCCTGCTGCCCGCGGGCACACCACGCTCGCCGCCGCGCCACCGCACCGAGCGCGTGTCGCCTGAAGCGGCAGCTGCCCCGCCGCGGGGCGAGCGTTTTCGGCCGCCTCCTGCGTTTTTGGCCCCCAGCGCTCTCACCTCTATGCTGACCCCCTGGAACTCGGCCGCCTTGCGCTGCGCGTCATGGGCCGCCAGCTCCGCCGCCTGCGCAGTGCAAGGACACGCGCGGCGTCGCCAGTTGCGCGCCAGATCTCGGCGTCCTTGCTGGCCTTGTGTGCGATTTGGGAGGGCCTCGGCGCTGACCCAGGCGCAGCCGCCGTTTGTGCCCGTGCGCGCAGCTAGCTAGCACTACAGCAGTCAAGCTCGAACGTATTCACCTCTGCTTCCGCTTTGAGCGCGACCGACTTGTCCTGCAGCTGGTGCTCCCGCCGCGCAGCCTCGGCCGCTGCTGCAAACAGCCGCGAAAAGCGCGCCTTGGCGCCTGCGGCCGCGTCCTGTGTGATGTGGCTGATGGCCACCAGGGTGTCGATCACCTGGCAGCACGTGCGGGGTGCCGTGGGACGTTGTAGAAGGTGGTCCGTGGCAGCAGCAGTGGCAGCAGCGGCGGCAGCAGCAGCAGCAGCAGCAGCAGCAGCAGCAGCAGCGGCAGCAGCATGAGCAGCAGTGGCGGCAGCGGCGGCAGCGGCAGCAGCAGGGGCAGCAGCACCGGCAGCAGCACCGGCAGCAGCACCAGCAGCAGCGGCGGCAAGAGTAGCGATGCGCAAGGCTTCACGAAGCCGCCACCGCAATGCTTGATGCAAGCCAAGATTTGAGCATAGCAATCATCTTATGACATGCGCGTTTGTTACGTGCTTTTTTAACACACTTGCTTCACGACGCACCTTGTAGGCCTCGCAACTGCCCATCTCCTCCATACCAATAAAATAGAGGTCGTCCATTGTGCGTGTCGATGCCCTAGCACGGCGCTCACGGGGCTAAAGCCGAGCCCATCGTTCCGGGGCAAGTCAAACTTTGCTTGTGTTTATATGCCTTTGCATGATAGATCATCTACGTCGCAGAATGCGTACAGTGACGCGAGATCGATTAGCGTGGGGGGGCGCCAAGAGTGTCACTACCGCAGACACAGCAGCACACAGCAGACGTGGCAAGCAGCAGTATGCTCAAAGCCATTGAAGTTTGCATCATACACGAGCAAATGTTTGTACCATAGAGGCAGGAGTGAATCTCATGCTCGTAAGAATTGATTCACAAGGTATCGTGACTCAGCACCTCACACCACAGCTGATGGCGGCCCGTGCATCGCTCGCTGCACGACAGAGTCCCCAAGCTGGCATTCTGGTGCGGCCCTACATATTTGCCGACATGCAGCATGATAACTGTGCTGCATTCGACGATTTTTTGCTTCATACGCAACGGGTAACCGGCTGTGTGATCCTGCAAGGTGAACCAACGTGCACTGATACAATCCGCCCGTGACTTTCGAGCCCTGCTTTACACTGTTGCAACGTAGGTTGGTGGCACAACAGTTTCTGTTCAAACAACCAACTACAAAAAAATCCATCATGCATTTCAGCAACAAAGTGCAAGGCTTCTGAGCCGCCGAAAGAGCCAGCACACATGCCAGGTGGCGCCAGGCCTGAGACAGGTTGTGGCAAGCCCAACACACCCCTTGTCAGGTATGCTAGCTGCCAACAACATGTGCTTGCATGAGCTCCTGCTACTTGCAGGGCTGATTCAAGTGGTGCTGTGCCTAGCAATGTTTACGCATGTGAGGGATATGTGCGTGTGTGTGCATATGTACGTGCATGTATGCGTGTGTGCATGTGTGTGTGTGTGTGTGTGTGTGTGTGTGTTTGTGCAGGTTTGTGTGTGCATGTGTGTGTGTGTGTGTATTCACACGTACTCGCCTTCGCACACATCAGTGCATCCTGACGAGCCCTGAGCGACACAAACCAGAGCACCGATCTGCAGGGGCGAGCAGTCGAGCCGGTTGCCGACCGCTGCATTCAGGCGCCGCAGCTCGTCCAGCGGCATCCCGTTGCTTGTGGCGATCGAGTAGCAGCTGTTTCCCGGGGCAGCGCGGACGGACCTGGTGCACGATGGCGAGCACTTGCGGCACCCACTTGGAATCTTCCTGCTGCATTCACTGACGAGGCTCGCGCCTCCGCATGGGCGGCAGCTCTGCGAGATACTCATGTCGCCGAAGCGGTACTGGTAGCAGGTGCCAATGCTGGCAGCGCCAACAGGTGCGTAGGTCAGGCCCCTGCTGTCTGTGTAGGTGAAGAAGCACCTTCCGTTGACCGTGACGGTGCCCGATGGCGGGCCCCTGGCACCCGCACCAGCCTGCGCCTGACCGCCGGCCTCGCAGCCTGAGGTGGACACCTGGTAATGAGTTGACACCAGCACAGTACTTTGTTTATTATTGTCTTGATGCAGAAGATTGTACTGGAATATCAAGTTTCATGCAAGCAAGCCCAGACATCAATGTTATCACCCGATCCCCGGCCGCATGGCAAGCAACGACAACCCGCGTGCTCGCCTGCAGATTATTCTGCGCAACGAGAATTCTGCAGCGGATGTCCTTGTCAGGGCAATCAGCAGCGACGTACAGCGGCGCCAGGACCAGCATGATGAATTGGAAGGCCAGGTGCCGGTACATTTTGGCAGCTGCGTGGAAGGTCGCCCCAACACACTTTGTATGTACTTTGTGAAAACGTTTGAGCATGTGGCAAACTCCTGTGCTGCATCTTATTGCAACCTGTGCACCCGCAAAGCTTCTTGTCACTAGATGCCATCGCAGTGATGAGCGAGGTGAGCAGTTTCCGGCGAGCACCTTCCCGGTCTCTGTTCAGCCCGCTCAGGACAATACTCGCGTCTGCTTGGTTTGGGATCTGTACCCAAGGTGACTCCACATTGTGAAATTGGCAGCCTCCACCTGAGTCCTGAAACAAGTGCCAGCCTGCGTGACTGATCAGCTCGCAGCTGCGGTACATTTCCAACAGGTTCTGGGCCCGGCCCAGCACCCTCCTTCCAGTGTCACAGTGTCTCAGTGTCTACCACGGCACAGTCGCGCAGCAAACCCAAAGTCAAATTCAATTTTTGATGTGTCTTTTCAGCAGATTCATCAGCCTGGATGGGGCACAGTCGCACCCACCGCCGTCGTCTTCTGGTCTGCTGGTCTGCTGGTGGCTGTACCGAGCCTGCCCGCGCCTGACTCAGAGCCCCACCGGTGCATGCGCTCACACCTCTGGTCCAATTGACCGGCCGTGTAGTGCCGCTGCATCGACATGACGATGCACTGGGGGATTAACGCTGGCGGCAGGCTGACAGCCATGAACTGTCAACCTCGTCTCTGCTCACTGACATGTGGGCGGATCTCGTCAGCCGCCGACGGCCTGTCGCACGCACTGAAAGCCAGCAATCACCAAATTGTCCTGCCTCAGCCAACCCCGGCACTGCGGCCCTGGCCCCCTCGCGTCACAACCCGCAGCGCCGCTGCAGCTAGCGGCAGCACCGCTCCAACTGGCGGCAGCACCGACAGCACACCCACCGGCAAGGTTTTCGAGCCACCTAGAGCGGACAAACACAAGAAGGCCGCGGCTCTATCTCGTGATGGCGTCTGTGTCCCCAGGCTTGACCCGCGTGTTCTGCAAGGGCGCGCCTGCGCGCGCTGCCTGGATCAAGATCAAGCCGTTCACCGACCAGGTCCGCTTTGCTCGCCTACAGGGCAAGACCATCAAGCTTGCCACCTGCAAAACAAACCCGCCTGAGGCCATCACCCAGAGCTCCTCCTGCCTCTCCACACACTCGGCTTGCCGCCTTCAACACCCCAGGCCAGGGCACCAACAAAAACAACACCAAACAACACTAGCCATTCACACCCCTCCCTCAGCCGCTCTGCGGCCACCAGGCCGCGTCTGCTAACTGTCGCTAGTCGTCGCACTGCGCCGTTGGCGCCAGCTGTCACTGCCCACCGCCAAAGTTACGAATGTGCGCCGCTGCTGCGATTCACACAACCAGCTTTGACTGCGCCGTGCCAAACTTGATGTGGATGTGACAAGGTTTCTTTGACATCATATCCCACTGGCGGCGGGGGATATCGCAACCGCTGGGCGCCTGGATGTGCGCTGCGCACTAAGCTGGTACCAAGAGTGGTCTGTCGCAACAGCTGCGTCACGCAAACAAAGCAGTCCAGCGCTCAAAACTTTCCTTCATAACAAGTGAACAACGCGAAGGTCACCTCGACAACACCCTTACCACCTCAAGCGCTCAAAAAACCGTGCTGCAGATCACCTGCCCCAGATCACAGCCATGAGGATCGAGGAGGTGGCCTCGACCACCAAGACTCAGCGCGTAGCCACACACACGCACATCAAGGGGCTTGGCCTAAAGGACGATGGCACCGCCCATCCCATGGCCGCGGGCTTCGTGGGCCAGGAACAGGCGAGAGAGTCGTGCGGGATCGTCGTGGACATGATCAAGCAGAAGAAGATGGCGGGACGTGCCCTTCTCATGGCCGGCGCCCCCGGGACCGGCAAGACCGCGCTCGCGCTCGGGATAGCTCAGGAGCTCGGTACCAAGGTGAGGCAGCGGGTTTGTAAAAGCGTTTGTGAGTCGCGGTTGCCTTGCACGCACAACGGTATCGACGGCCGGGGTGGCCAAAAACGGCCAGCGGCGGCGCAGAAGCGGCAGACCTGATCGAGCGCCTCACCACCTCCGCATGGCGATACGGCCTGCAGCCAGTGAATATAATTGAAGTAATCAGAGCCCGTTGCGCGCGGCATCGGCGTTTCCAGGCCCCGTGCTGGCACCTCGGCCGCTTGCACGCACCCCGGCCTGCTGTTCCGCTCGTGCAGACCGGGGCAGCTGGCCGGCCTACGGCGTCATGCGCTTCGCCGCCGCCCCTGTCCCCCATGGCGCCGCGCCCGCCCCCTTCCCAGGTGCCTTTCTGCCCCATGGTGGGCAGCGAGGTGTACTCGTCCGAGGTGAAGAAGACAGAGGTGCTCATGGAGAACTTCCGGCGCGCGATCGGTGCGTGATGCGCACGAGAGCGGGCCGGGCGCCGTCTGGGCAGGCTGCTGCCCTCCAGGCGGCGGTGGGTTCAGCCGGCGCGCCTCGCTTTGCTCCTGTGCCAGCGACGGCGGCAGAGCGCGCCGGTGAGGGCGCGCGCGGGTTGGCTGCAGCGCGCGGCGCCCACCCCGCGGGCAGCAAGCGTCGCCGTCTCGTGTCCACGCTGCTGACTCTATAGCACCCGACCCTCCCACCCCTGTCCCCAAGGCCTGCGCATCAAGGAGAACAAGGAGGTGTACGAGGGGGAGGTCACGGAGCTCACACCAGAGTACACAGAGGCTGAGGTGGGGGGGGCACTGGCAGGGCAGGCTGCGAGGCGCGATTTGGAAGCGAGTGTGACGGGACGGGGTGGGGGCTTGTTTCCGGAGGTGCGGAGTCGTGGCGGAAGGGATGTTAACAAGCAGCACAGAGCAGGGGCCACTTGGCAACGGGGTTTATGTGGCGGAAGGCACATGCAGGTGCAGGTACGGGGGCTGGTGGGCCGGCAACAGGGGCGGCGTGAGGGCGGCCGCTAACGTGCGCCCACTGTCGCGAGCCATCTCACGGGCGCGCTGCGGCCCAATGTCAACCACACATGCCGGACCAACGGGGCTGACCGCAACGTGCCGCCTCCGTCGCGCCTGTCATTATTTGGCGACGCTGCCTGAGGCGTCCCTCCTCCCCCTCATAACTTTGTCCCCGGTAGGCTGGTGGGTACGGCAAGGTGGTGAGCCAGGTGCTCATTGGTCTGCGCACTGTGAAGGGCACCAAGCAGCTCAAGCTGGACCCCACCATATACGACAGCCTGCAGAAGGAGAAGGTCCAGGTGGGGCCAGCAATAGGGGGGGGGGGGTGGCTGCTGTTCTCGGTGGCGGCGGTGTCGGCTGTGGTGGCGTGGGTGTGAAGGGGGATGGCGATTGTGAAAGCGGTGGTGGTGGCTGTTTTGGTGGTGGTGGTGGTGATGGTGGTGATGGTGATGGTGAAGTTGGTCACACGGTGTGTGGTGGGGTCGTCGGCCTGGGCAAGGCAGGCCGCCGCCGGCCGTCCCAGCCGTGCATGATCACGATGTTGCGAAGAGCACACGCTGCTGGACGGCCTGTCGCGCGCCGCGTCCCCGGGTGGGGCGCAGCGCCTTTCGAACCCCCCGGCGTCGAGACCTCGCCCCCCTCCAACATCGCGACCGCCGCGCCCCCCAGGTCGGTGACGTCATCTACATCGAGGCCAACAGCGGCGCCGTCAAGCGCGTGGGGCGGTGCGACGCGTACGCGACAGAGTTTGACCTGGAGGCGGAGGAGTACGTGCCCCTGCCAAAGGTGGGGGGGGGGGCTGGTCTGTGGAAAGGGTGGCTTGAGGGCCTGCAACGGGTGCATGTGTGGGGCAAGGGGTTGAAAAAGTGGCAGCTGGCCCGTGTGGAAGTCGGGAGAGTGAGTAATTGTGTGTGTGCATGTGTGTGTTGGATACTCATCAACCAAGTAATTGCGAGTGGAGGGTACGTGCTGTGCGGGGGGTCTCGCTCCTCGCGCGCGCGCCAGTCCATTGAGGAGGGCACGTCTGATGCGGTTTCTCAGGTCGGGCGCGCCATGCTGGGGGGCTTCCCTCTACGCAACCCGCAGCGGCGCAAGGCCCCCCACTCAATTGGTGCCTCCCCTCTGGGGATACCATGACAACCCCCC